TACAACTAAATTGATGCTTTATTCATGTGCAAATTCTCACTAAACTATACAAAACTATCACACTTCGTTTCACAACTACATCATACTCCCTGCCAACAGCGACCAACAGCGACCTGTTGCAGCTGGGTACGCGAGCTAAAAAGAGTGACGCAGAAGCTGATGTTACAGCACTATTGATAAATCCACTAGATGATAACGATGATAAAAGAGTATGTCGATTCTTTGTTCATAACCGAAAGAGGCAGTGGGCAGGAATTACTGTTGCCCCGCAAACGCTGACATATTATGACGAAGTCTTGACGGCATGTCATGAAATTCATCAACATTCACTGCAAACTACAAAAAGGGACAGCCAAGGCACACTGCTGGGAGATAGAGTACAGTTCCAATAACTTTGCGCATTGAAAAGCTTTGACACATGATAAGATCGTTCACGTCTTCATTAAATTGTGGTCTGAAAATGATTGACCAAACTGTGGGAGTATATTTTCGGCTATAGGATCCTTTTTGCTAAAAAAAAATTTGTCTTTGGGCTTTGTTAGATAAGGAAATCTCTTCTTGTGGATGCTCAAGTCTTAGAATTACTGCTTTTCGTTTACAACCTACATCAAGCAGACACAGTATTTCCTGGTAAGAGTAGAGATTCCAAATTACAAGACTAAATTGCAACGACCAAGGACCAATTTAAAGCAACTATATTCCTACACCACCGTGAGGAAACAGAGACGCCCCAATGATGCGATTTACTATTATTTGACTACCCACTGTACATTGTCTAGCTCAGGAACTACAAATGCTTACCTTCCAGGTCAAGAGTACAATCTGAGTGACTGGTACCCATTGGGGTGAAATCACGAGCTTCTCGGATACGGCACCCCCAGATGCTCCTTTGGTAGCTAAGCCTCTGTCAAACTTCACGAGGCTCTGCACAAAGTGAAATGAAAGTAAAGGAGTCGTGACTGAACACAACACTTTTCATTAAGAAATAATATTGAACATGGTATGAAAATGTCATTGTCGACAGCTTGTTCTAAGAAACTAAGATACATCTGTACGAGGACTCTCAAAGCAGGTGTGACTAACCTGCTCTTCACCATGCCGTTGACCTTCTAAAGTTCGCTGTCATTCCTCCAAGCTAGGAAAGCACACTAGTTAGAATCGTTTTACTATGCACCTTGTAAACAATGCCAAATTATATGTTGTGTACATTAAGAGCATGACAGCCTGCTGATAGCAGTCCTTCCTCAAATAGAATCATTTAAACTAGTGTTTGTGTACAGTGAGAGAGGTTGACGACGGAGAAACTTACGTGAATAATCTGTACGAGCTGAAGGTTCTCAGTAACAAATGAAGCTGACGCTTCGTTATCAGCCACCTTAAGCATCTGCAATGTCACATAGATCTACAGCCCACACCCTTAACATTGCGGAGGATTCATATCTATGTGCAAAGCTCATGTCCTTACTAATCTTGATAGGTGGTAGCAAAGCAGGCCATTCAATTACAAGACTGTTACTAAACTACTACTTGGAATGAGAGCATCCTCCGGCAGACAAGACGAAATTCTGATATTTACTGTGATACTCTAAAATTCACCAAAAACTACTGTCCAGGAATGTTGACTCGCACGACACGGGATTCTTTGCACTCTTTTCCAGCATGATCGATTGATTGACTGAAAGCTGATGTATACATACCGTGGTGAGCCACTGTGTTCGATAGTATTCCTCAGATGCGGTCAAACGATAGCCCGCGTTTTCCATCTTAAATTCTTCCATGCCCCCTGAACCATGCTGGCATGACCAAAATTTCAATAACACCGCTTCCAGGGGCAATCAGTCTGAGTACATAAATTTCCGAAACAGTAAAGGCGACGCCAGCTCCGTAAGAGTAACCTATTCCTTAAGTGTTTCGTCAGTATCAATAGCAACGTGCAATTGACTCGCAGATTTCGAAGAAAAACACTCCAAACCAACCAGAGTCTTCCAGATCCACAACTGAATTCAAGAACAAAGTCTGAAGTTCGATGAACTGACCACAATCTGGAGGTTGAGCCTGTCGAATGTATACCCAGCCATAAATGCATCAACCGCAGCACAGACAAATTCATGTAATGCTTGTCCTGCTGACCTTCCCAAATTTTGCACGCAAATCTGATAAATTCGACAGCAAATTCAGTATCCGAGCAACGCTTGATCCATGATCTTTGGAGAGGATGCCAAATAGCAAAAGACATTCCTCAGTGACTGTCATAATAAACCTAAACCTTCTCGAATGCCAATTTTCAGGTATATTCTCTGAAGAAAGTAACACACCTCAAAGAAGCACAAATGCAAACGACGACACACATCATCCAGCGATATCTGCGACCACCCATCACGCCCTTTCGCGGCTGCATGCACCCTCAATCTCTCATCTCTACCACTGCCACTTAAATTTCCGACAACAGCACTATCCAGCTGCTTACGAGTAACCATAGCGCCGCCCCTCAAAACTTGACCACGGCGGGAATTCGCATTCAAGCAGATAATTGTGTTCCTGAATCCCTTTCTCTCAGCGGCCTTCCCAACAGACTTTGATACCCACTTCAAGGTGTTCGCAGAATCGGCTTTCAATCCACAACAAGCGTCAATATTCACACCCGAAAGACCCATTTCGTGGCTTGCAATGTGATCAATTTAGTCCACTGTAAGACGATAAGCTCTCGATTGAGCTCATGACCTAGTGAAGACTCTCGGAACATTTTTGTATGTTTCTTTTTTTCCTCTTCCTCACACAGCATCCCTGCTCTCGCCGTCGATCGATCTACCGTCGTAAACATCCAAAGGCATGGCACATGCTGGAATCCAGCGACTGCAAAACATCTTCCCGTCGGGAACATCTCTTGGAAGCAAATGCGCATTGATCTTAAAATAGGATTAAAAGAGGTATGGAAATGCAGATATCGTCAACACAAATACATCCGTTGCTACATGATTGGTTTGGAATGGTGCTTCTCTTCGGTTCCCAGAGAAAGAGTTGTTATTTCTTATCGATGCTTTTGCAGAAGTCTAGAACTTAGCAGAGAGGACAAGAGTGGGATTCCCAGGAGGCTCCAATTGAGAAGGTAGTAGCAGCCATAGTGACGAGCTGGGGTAGTTGAGGGAAGGAATACTAGAAAGATCACCGCGAGGCTGTTATCTTGCTGAAACTGGATCAGTTGTGAGCCAGGGCTTTGTGTATCACGCGTGTTCTTCGCGGGGATAATGAATTTGGAACTTGCCGCCAAGATGGACATGCGATCAAGACCCAACTATTCATATGTGTTCATTCTACTTACAGTGTTTCAATGTGTACCCCTACCACATCATGTCAGTAATGTAATTAGCCAGAATTCTGAAAAATTCTGAGGATTTCTGAGAGAATCAGATATCTTCAATTCGATAAGACTTAGCAAGAGGTGCAGGTGCACTAATTGTTAACGAACAACCTAAAGTCTTAAGATGATTAGTAGATTACTCAGTTAAAGTCTCTGGCTTACATCGAGTTTTCTTCAAGATAAACACAACCCAAGAGCAAACCATCCTCCCACAGCATCGCAATAGTGTACACAGTCCGCATTAATATTTAATGGGGCACTCTTCGTGATTTTAATCTGCGCTCTGCAAGTCCAGAAGCTCAAATGCATATGTTGATGAACCACAGATATCGTAGCCTCAGCATTGGAAAGAAGCAAGAGCATAACAAGATTCAGCACACAGTACCAACTTTGAGAACTCAATTTGTTCAGAGGATTTTAGAAGAGTGTGCATGTACACATCAAACTAATGGCCTCGTTACAATCATACCGATCGCAAACTGTACTTGGACAAATCATTCCAGCTAATGTCACGTCAAGTGACGGATAACCAGACCTTCTATTACGCGACATCGTGGCTTTGATCTGCACAGCCAACCACGAGATATTGAATTGCAGAAGTGGACTGATAAAGGACATATTCCAAGAACCTTGAGGTCCAAAGTCTATTGGGGAGGTCTGACAAAGAGTGCATCTCATTATGTCGGCCTCTGAGGAGCTCAAGTTAAAAGAGGACGTACAATAAAAGCCCAGTAATTCGCTAGTAGGATGATGACAATGGAACATTCAGTAATAACAATATTTAAAACAACCTACAAGGGAGGGCTCGAATTCATACCAGTGGTGCCCATAGGGATTAACGAATTTCGATTTATGAGCCTCCTTAGCTAAAAGACAGACACGAACGAGATTAGTAAGAAATAACATCCAATATGCCATCATGCAGACCAATTTTTGTCCACAAGTCATTATTTGTCAAAAACTAACCTCTCTAAAGAAGATTACGTACATCTAGAAGACTCCAAACCATAAACGGGCAGTTCCAGAACCATATGTTCAAAGAGAATGGTCCTTTGATCAGTACTTAAGACATGAAAACTTCGAAATAGAAGCATGATTCCGCAAGTGGGATACCTAACATGTTTTACAAAGGGTATAAAACCATGTACTCCTCAGAAGCTGAGGAAATAAGATGATACAAACAGCATCCATTAAGTGCCACTAAGTTGTGAACTAGATTTATATGCAAGGTACGATCATACTCAACCAACTCTAATTATGATGTTAACACAACACATCCAAGGAAATGAAGAGCACTAAACAAGTGGTGGGTTTTCCAAACATGGAAGCGTACATTGGGTTTAACTATCTCCGTGATTACGATATCATAAAACCAGAAAAATCCTGAAATCTTCCTGTAAGACCTAACAGGTCACCCCTGGGCCGAACATCGTCTTCCTCAGCTAGACCATCCCCAGCAATTCCGATAAAATCCATACAATGATCCACTGCACTTTCCTGGATAATGTGAACGCCTGTATACTTTCCTGTAACGCTATCAGACCAATTTCACTGTCGACTCTAGCACAACCAAGTAACACGACGATGCGCATCTAGTAACGAAACGAATGCCAGCTCATCTGGAAAGCAACAAATCTAGTGAAACCCTAAACGAAATAATGCCACACTGTACTGAAATCCGCACGCAAGGCAACCAAAGGCGAGAAAAACGTTTCCAACTAGCGAAAACGTCCCTCACCCACTGCAGAATGCATCATGTAGAGAATCACCACGCAGAATGGTTACATAGCAAAAAAACCCACTGGAAATCCAGAAATCATGAATACTGGTTTCAAAGGGGGAACACTCACGGTCAAGGCTGGCGGAAAGCTTGGCCACAAGGGTGAAAGTGACACCGAAGCCGAAGACGAAAGGCCAGTTGCGCTTGGCCTCGCTGAAGACCACCTGGGAGAGGGGCCGTCCCACCACTGGGACCACCATTTTGAATTGGGTAAGTGAGAGACTCGATAAAACTACTCCACAGTTCGCAGCAAACCCTGAATCAATGCCTAGAGACAAACGCAGCACTACAATTGCGATGCAGAAACGGTGTTTGCAGCTTTGAAAGGCTCGATCGACTCGTTCGGTTGCGGCTGGCTTGTGGGATCACAAGACATGGGCTTCTGCCACGACGCCGCTTCATCGTGGCCCTGGGAGGTCCGGTTATCAGACATGTTATAAACATATCCGGATATTGGCGGGCCCCGGGTTTCGAGTATAATTAGAGAACTAAGTCGTGCAGGGCGACTCATAATGTGATAAGTGAGACATTATGTTTATTTTTTTAACAATTTGATATTTTTGTGCTGAGGCTGCAAAAATATGTCACAACGTCAATTATTTGGCAATTTTTTAAAACTTGGGTCATTTCAATTTAATAGTGTTCTGCCACAAATTGATGTTTCGGATATTATGTTAAAGTTGAACGATAATTTGAATTAGGAACAGGAGAAAGCAATCCATGATTATGAATTATTTATTGTATGTATAGCGAGAGAGAAGTGAGAGGTGAAGTATGAATAGAATGTTTTAAAAATTGAAAAGAAGTTTTTTCTGAATTCTTCACAAAATAAAAAAATAATAACAATAATATTTTTTAGAAATTAAAAAATATTAGGCTGATTTAATTGCTTATGAGTTTTTTTATATATTCATATTATTTTGTAGGTTAAGTATATCATGTACAAATTTGAATATACTAATATAAGACAAGTTTAAGCACCATATTTTATTTTACAATTTTACTTTTAATCACACAAAAAAAAATTGAATATTAATTTCTTTGTTGCTAATTGTTAGCAACTAACAAAAATAGTAGATAGACGAAGAAGGTGAAGCAAAGGAGTACTCTTATTGGAATCCACAATGTTGATGTTTATAGATTCAATAATTTATATATTTGATTTTTTTAAAGTTATATGTCCAATAAAGTAATCATTAAATAATTTTGGTTTATGAATGTAAATATAAATATAAATATATGTATGTGAGAGTTCATATATATAAAATCACATGTTTATACTAAACATGAAGAGAAGACAAGCGATTTCATAATTATCCTAAAATAATCTAAGTATTACTATAATAATTGAAGGTTTAATGTGTCTAATCAGTTTAATTATTTTAAGCAAATAAATTAGCTCCATAAAGAGTATACTAAAATTTTATTTATGTGAATATTACAAAAATCAAATATCACAAAAAAAACCTTATATTTTTATCAATAAAAGAATTCTTTAACTATCATTTATTATAATGTGTTTTGACAAACTTGTTTATAAGTATAAATATATATATATATATATATGCATCACAGAAACAATTCATAATCATTTGTCACCTACAATTTTTTTTCAATAGTCATAAACAATGATTGAAAACGTTAGAATGTGTGTTCATAAGATCTATGTACAAAATTATGCGCATTACAAATCAATTGTAAAGAAATCTGTATTAACATGCAGTATTCAATTGATGTGATTGTTGATTAAGTATTCACATGATCAACATTCGCACGATAAATTGTCTCATAATAATATTATGGACATTAATGCAAAGCTTCAACTCTACTATGGATTAATTCCGATTTTAACTCTCACAGTTTTTTTAATCAGAACTTTAGAACAAATACATTCAATATGCTATTGTTTTGTAGTTGATTATGAACACAATTTGAACTCGCATTTCACAATCAAAACCACCAACACGCACACAACTTCAGTCCAACCCACATTTCAACAGTCCAACGGCAAATCCAAACATCAAATAAAAAAAACACGAAAAAAAGAAAAAAAGAAAAAAAGAGCAAAACAAAAACACAAAAACAAAGCACTATATCATAAAACAACTGATTCAATGCAACATCAGCGTCGGAAGCGTTTCAAAACAAAATTTACATTCAGCATTCATTCAACATCTAAAACAAAATTCTAAAGACGCCCCACATTTATACACACACACACACACACAACCCAACAGTGCACAGATAGATTATGTTAAAATAGAATATGTCTAAGACGCATGGAAGTTTTTACAAATGTGGCTTGAGCACCACGCTTTCTCAATAGGGTTCGATTGTTTGCTTCAGTAAAGATCAGGAAATGGCCTAAAATCATAACGATTTCACCTATTATTATACACAATGTGCTTACAAAAACCGGGTCTAGGATTTTTGCTACTCACCGCAGCATTTCAGCGGCTGATTCTTCCATGATAGGATCGTATAGTTGCGGATGCTGCACAAATTGATAGAAGAACGTCGCCGGCTGCAAAGATTGAGAGAAGAAATGGGAAGAAATGGAGCGAGGGTGGATGTGGGGGAAGAGTTGGTTTCTAGAGGCCGCAGCAGCAAGGTCCATGGCAAGGCCATGTGCACACCCAGCACGCAATGAACGCCGCCGCGCACCAATTCGCAGCTCGGTTGCTCTTCTTGGGGTGTGTCCCAGATGGGCCGTAAATCACTGGACCCTGCGGGTGTTGCACGTACCCGCTTCCATGGTTGGCATTGTACTGCGGTTGTGCGTTGCCGCGGGTGTCGTATGCGTATCCTTGCTCAGGCACGTTCACATCCGCCCCTGCTTCATAGCCGTAGCCTAGTTTCTGTCCCGCGGGGTAGTTCGCTGTTCCTCCTACGCCTCCCCCCGCCGGAACGTTCACATAATCCTCAGTGTGGTTATGCCTCCTGTGAAACATCTTCGCAGGCTTTACTACTTGGGTGTGCGAAACTTCTCTGAAGACTAAGAAAATTCTTCAAAAACACTCTGAAGACTAAGAAAACTCTTCAACCCACATTTCTACCAGCAAGAGAATTTTTTGATGCGACTTCTGGGTTCTACTCCGAAATCAAACGTTGATTCGAGCTGATGAAATGAGAGTTTGAACAGGAGTACTGGCTTTATAGAAAGGAGTGCGGGGGGTGAGAGCGGCGGGCTGCAGCGTCGAAGTGGAGAGGTGGGGATTTTCGGGTCCCTACCAACAGCGGGCGGCGACGTGGTCGGTGACGTGCCCTGCAGCTGCCACCTCACAGACACGAAGATTCGGAGAAGTGGTTGTTTCGATGTGCCGGCGACGAGTGAGCGTGGCCAGTTTAGAAATCCGATTCATCAAAGATCAGGTGGTGGTGTGCCCTCTTGTTACGTTACCAAGAGATGCCGCCACCAACTTTCCCTACACCAACTCATCAATGGCTCATTCATTTCTTTTCCTAGGTCTAAAATAAATTAATAAAAAAACATACAATTTTTTTAGTAAGAATGCTTTTGATGTGGTTGATCATCTCATATTCGAACTCATCTTGTTTGAATCCATTGTCACCCTCCTATTCAGTATTATAGAGTTTGTTTGATCCAGTCTTTTCGCATTGCAGAAGGTCAGGATACACGACACCCTGAGACAGTGGCAGTTTGACTTTTGTTTCGTTTTTTTTTATCCCTTGTACTAAACTCCTTCAATACGGAGATGCTCTGCAGTTTAACCCCAAACCCTAAACCTGAGTGTTTAGTGTGCTTGACATGGTCAAGCATAGTCACAGTTCTATCTTTCCTCGTTTTGGTGGTCGTTGTTAGTGAAAGGTTGTGACGCCCACGATAGTCAGGCAATGAATCAGTGAGAAGGGTGCGTGGTGTAGGACTAAGAAGGCGCAATTATTTTATGACCAGGCATATGGAAGGAGCCTCGCTTGCGCTAGGTTAACATTTGACACAACCATCACATCCACTGTTAATCCATTTCAGCAGTTTAGAGTAAAATTTTGGAAAATATCCTCTCATTTATGTAAATTTTGGGTTTTATAGGTCACCTTGTAGCGGATTTCGTGGGAAGCAACTAGTTGATTCTTTTCCAGCAGAATTCTTAATCATAATTGCTGACGAGCATCTGTTTTTTATCTAACAAGGTGGATATGGCTGCGTCCAACACTCGCAAGTCGTAGCTAACCTTAGTTTACATTTGTTGCACTTGATCTCTAGTATCGTTGTTTCTTAGTTGCCAGAGTACCATCTGACAGGGCCACTAGACGTTGGTTACTTACTTTTTACGTCAGTGAATCGGAGCTAAGTTTTACATGTAATGTTGAGAATTGAAATTTTGTAAACGATCACCTCCACAAAGATTTGTTACGCCATATCAGGGGCTATCAGTCAATGAGTCAAAAGGTCATGCTCTCATTCAGAAAGTAGCCTCGACATGAGAGCATATCTTGAATAAGTCGTTCATCTGCACAACCCATCCCAGGGACGTGTTTCCAGTTAAGATTAAAATAAAAATAAAAATAAAAATCCTATGCCATTGGCGGTCGAAGCTTCGTAAGTTCACAATGAATCCTCGAAGATTCTGTCAATAACAAAGCTGACGCGTTACACTATTCACAGATAACTTACCGTGATGGCGAGAATCTTTTCCATCAAATTTACTCTGAAATAGTTGGAAGTCGCAATCCTGATCTTTAGTGTACTGATTTGGTTGCACCTGGTTCGAAACACGGCTGGTTGTTTGCAACAAATGCAGATTTTTGCCAAATGGCAGATTCAGCGCCTCCGACCATCCATGAGGGACTTCAAACTCTTTGCTGGCAGGAGGTTGGTGCGCTTGAACCTCTTGGAATCTAGGAGGGGACGATGGATTGCCAAGTGGCCAGAGCTTGACTTCACGAAGACCTGGCAACTGAATGAATGTGGATATTACGCGAAGATGGATTTGCATGCCACCGATCGTTGCCACGCTGCAGACGATGCGAGAACCCCTGTCCAGGCTGGACGTGGGCACTCTCGAGTCATGCTCAGAAGTTCTCTCCCAACGGGGCTTTACGGCTCTCATCCGGCTCTTAACTCCTCGTCATTATGCCAGGAATCTTTGCTCGATAAAATAGTTCCTCACGCCATTTTTCTTCCAATTTGCCTTACAGACATTTCCTCTCTTCCCATTCCAGCTCCCAACCTCTACATTGTTCTCGGAAGAGCGTACCGGTGTCAAGTGAGTTGTGCCCTGATCGGAGCGTGTATGCTCGTGATTTGGGTGATTACTTCTTGGGTAGAACTTCGGATTGCGTGATTGTGTTTAAACGGGGATTGAGATTAGCGGGGTGGGTAGACGGACGGCAAAATTTTGCGGATCTGGCTTAGATTTTGGGTTCCACGTGAGGGAAGATGAGTCGGCCGGATCGTACCATCGGGGTGGCATTGGACTACTCGGCGAGTAGCAAGTATGCATTGAAGTGGGCCGTGGATAACCTGCTTCGCCAACATGACCAGTTGACTGTGCTGATCGTGCACAAAGAGTTTAATACCGAGGATAGCCAATACATTCTGTTTGGGAAGTATGGATCACGTTAGTACCTCAACCCTTCTCAGTCTCTTCACTTTTTAGAAATCCCCGCTGAGCGAGGCATCGAGTGCCTCCAAAATTTCTTGTCTTGTCTTTAAGAAGCAGATTTCTTCGTGTGGTGTGTAAAATTTTGGTTGAAAACTATGGAATCTCAAATTATCACTTGATTTGTCTGATTTTGCAGAACTCATTCCTCTTGCCGAAGAGGAGGAGCCCGGTACTCAGAGGCGGTACAATTTGAAACAGGACGAGGAGGTTCAGTCTTACCTCAAGGAAGCCGTCACTGCAAAGAAGGTGATAACTCTTTCTTCTACTTGATCCTCCTTGGGCACAAAACACAATCAATCCTTGTTACAAAATTTGTCACTGGGTATTTTACCACAACCGAAAAGCAGGAGCCTCTTTTCCTTATAATTGCCGTGCTGATGAGTGGCTGAAACAATTTTCGCAGGCTACAGTAGTGTTCAAGGTCTACTGGGGGGATCCGAAGGAAAACATATGCAAGTCTGTCAACGACGTTCCTCTTGATTTTCTCGTCATGGGTTGCCGGGGACTGAGCGCACTGAAAAGGTGCGGCGATTCTTGAATCTTTCTGAAAATTGATTTCCTCTTCTTTTTTAATGTGTCGAGAATGGATCTTCTTTTGTTCCTCAGCTTGAGGAGAAGGATTTATCAATGGTGGTGAACCTGAGATTGCTACTTCTGTACTCATCAATCAACCCCATTTGAACGCCGTTTCGCAGGACATTTATGGGTAGCGTCAGCAACTACGTCTCCAACAGCGTGCCCTGCCCAGTCACCATCGTGAAGCTTCCACCAAATATGTCTTCTTAGAGACGTACTAAATTTGTTTTGAAAGGTTTCACAGTAGTGCCATTCATTTGTAGTGAGATGGTTGGATCTCTCATTATAATGGTTACAGAATTCGAAGGAATAAGTCGCCGTTGTTTCTTTCATTGTGATGAAACCATTGTCTTTTAATCTTATGACTCTGCAGAGTATGCTTCAACATAAGATTTATGAACTTGTTTTTGGACTGTTGTGCAACGGCTGCTGCTTCACTGGGTATGTTTCGATGCTAATCACCGCTGCAACAGGTTAGGGTATTGCAGTGTTGTTTTATCTAGCTGGCGTTGCGACCCATTCACGTACTAGCCTACAATGTTGAGAAGGATACCTCTACTCGGTCAGCCTTAAATCGTCCCTCTTATCTGCTTGACGCAGCAGTCGATTACCCATTCATTGCCGACAATCCAAGAGGCAAGACTTGCATCAAACAGGACCGATCGATATTGATGGTTTCTACCAAGGTCAGTCTATATATCCTGGTGTTGTCACTCTCCTCCGCGGTTCCTACCAAGACCGCTGCAACGGTGCAAGGTTACTGGTCAATCTCAACGTCAAGGAGTTTCCTCCGTGTGACTCTCAAGGCAGCACAATCCACACCGCGATTTTTTTCTGAATTGAAAGTCTAGCCGGAGATAAAAACTAATACCGCGGCCAGCATCACGATGTGCACCATACCCTCCCTCTTCTTTAACGTGCGTCTTCTATGTCCTCCTAGCTGCTACCGCCCCTGCTGCCCCGGTGTCTTGCGTCGTGTTTTCAGATTTTGAATGCGAAGGAACTTGTTGCATTTGCCCATGACTTGCTCTTTCTGGGTGTGAGCATTAGGTAATGGTGGTCAATTTCCACGTCTCATTCGGACCACATCATCTCCGGCTGGAATCCTCCTTCCATCAACGTAGACAATATGATAGATACCGGCCGATCTCCAGCTTACCGTCGCTGCAAAATGGACAGACGGAATGCGGGAATCATGGCAAGCATTTTCAGTCAACACATTTCGGCACGTTGGTCCTCTCCAATCAAAACGAACACAACCGAACAGAAGTCCTTGCTCGAAATGTCACAGCAATTAGTTTCCTCTTATCTCCTGCATCTTTAAGTAGGATTTAGAATCTATATTTTCTTGATGTTTTGCTTTGAGGTCAACACCAAGTAAGATTTGAAGGGTGTAGAAGCGTGCTCGGATGAATTCCATTCCCGTAGTCTTGCGTTAAGATCACTGCAGAAGGGACCCAATTCGGACAGAAGGAGTGGCACTGATCACAATTGCTGAAGTCCTCAAGGGATTGACGTCACAAGAGCTCGGGAAAGGAGTTTATGGAAGATGGGTTAGGTGCTGGGGGAGATAACCAAGTTCAATTTGCCGCGGGGTAACAATCAGAAGGAGAGGCAGGCCAACCGGGCGGTAATGCGAAAACTCAGGTCCAGCGCTGCGATGATGAAGGTTTCCTCGTTGAATGCGCAGGCATTTCCGGAAATCAGGCACGCAAGCTTCAGAAGAAATAGCGATAAGTGATGATCGCTCTACTGTTGTGATGATCCATTGCCGAAGTGCATTCCACTCTTCAATCTCCCAACCCGTCTATGGCCACAATGCATTGAATTGTCTTGGGGTTTGAGAACTCCTAGTGAATTATTTTACGACTCAGAATTGGAATGCAGACCCATAGCAAACGAATCCCATAACCATTAATAAAATTGCGTTCTACACGAATACCCGTAATTAGTGTGTATCAGACTATTTGCAAAGTGCCTCTGGGACATGTGTCGACGGTAATTAGTGTGTATCAAACTAAATGGTAATACACGCTAATAATACACTATTTTGAATAATGTGATTCACACTATTCAAATTTGCGCTTAAATAGTGTGTAGACTCCGAATTTCAAGTTTCTGCCCCGTGGATGACCTTCGCAACATCCTCCGCATTAGGCTCCGTATCGATGTCCCTCAAAAGCCGATCACCTTAATATCTTCGTGCACAGCAAGTAGTGCCCTTTCTTATACTAAATAATGGCTCCACCGATTGCAATGCTGCTCTTCTCTTGTGGTGGGAAAATCCATACTTTCACTACATACAAAATCATCAAACACCACAACCACATGGCCCTCCTCAAACACCTCCACTTCCTCAATATTTAATACAAAGTGAAGCCTTCTTCATAAAATAGAAGTAAATAGCCAACAACAACACATACAATCTCAAGTCATGTCCATTGCATGACTTGATGCAGGATTCAATCCCAGGAAGATTTTTTTTTTTTTTTTTTTTTTTTTTTTTTTTCAGATTTGGAACAACAATCAATTTATTAATGTGTACAATAAGGTGGCACAACTTCACTATCAAAATAAACTTTGTGCTTGGTTACAATCAATTGCAGTTCCTGCAAGAGTTGTTTGCATGCCACATCGGATTATGGCTTGGCATACACAAGTGAGGCTGTTCTCATCCCTCATGACATGCTTGACTGCCTCTACTGCAAGCTTCAAAAAGAATGACTTGTTGGGATTTTTGTTTTTTTAATTTTTTGGTATCAAAAACAAGGTTTCTTGTCTTGCATATACTTTTGAATCTCTACAATCTTTTAATTTCTTCCATACATTGGTTTTAACAAAGATCTTAAAAAGTGTGGGTTCTAAGAGAGTGAAAATTATTAGAACCAACTACTCTATTTGACCTTTTCAAGTAGAGTTAATCCTTAAGTTGTATAAAATTTAGGACTTGTAGTTCAATGATCTAAGCTCAAGTGCAAAGGCTAGTAGGATGCCATTATTAACCAAAACCAAAGCCAAAGTGCTTTTGATTACATGTACAAATTAATTGACTAGAGTTCAAAGATCTAGCGAAGCCATTACAATTGATACAAGAACTTCAAAATATATTTCAACTTCTTTTTTAGAAGAATATCATAAAAATTATTATAGTAATCAAAGCTACTATATTGAAAAAAATCCTTCTCATTGTAAAATGGTGTCAAGACTCTCTAACCAAATTATAGAGTCAATTAAAGTTTTTTTTTGTGAATTAAGCTTTGCAAAAGAGTATTGACTTAAGAGCCTAGCTCAACTCTTTAAAGATGATTGACAATTTGGAAATTAAAGGTTACTTGCTAAAGATTGAAGATTTTATTAAAGAAAATATCTTCATCAAAATTACTTTTTTTGAGCTACATAAGTATTGGTCAACTTTTAAAAGCACTTTTGATATAAATTTTACTATTAATCTATTAATTAATAAATAATTAATTAATTTTTAAGTTTTCATATTGGTGTTTGTACACCAAATATTATTATAAAGATATTAAGTAGAAGAAGTGTTGAATATGATACATGACAAAAAAATTATTGAAAGTTTAAGAATTTAAATGCCTTACAATTGAAAAATTTGTTCTTTTTTACAAAAAGAATCAATTCATTCATTGAAATTGCAACATTATTAGAACTTAACTTAGAATGATGCTCAAACTAAACCATGCTACCAAATGAATTGGAGTATATGACTTGTTTGAAGATAGTTAATTTAAGAGATTATAAAAGATAAAGGTTATTATCACCATTAATAGATAGTCTTCTATCTTTGAAAAATCTTAATATTAAAAAGTGCTCAAGCTTTATATCATTACTAAATGAATTGGATAACCTCACATCTTTGACAACCTTAGATATAAGTAAGTGTTTAAGCTTGACGTCATTCCAAAATGAATTGGGTAACCTCAAATATTTGAATACCTTTAATATTCAAGGATACTCAAGCTTGACATCATTCCAAAATGAATTGGGTAACCTCAAATATTTGAATACCTTTAATATTCAAGGATACTCAAGCTTGACATTATTATCAAAAGAAATAGTTAATGCATTTTTGAAAAAATACCTTTCAAAATAAGTTAAAAATTATTAGATAGTATACTTAGAAGCTAGTGAAAAATATAGAATTAAGTCTTAATAGGATATTTATGAAATATAATAATATATAAGTTGTATGATTGTATCCAATTTTTTTTACATTTTTTTTTATAATATTCATTTTTTTGTAGAAGGATTATTTTGGATTATTGAAAATATCAGTAGAAAAAATCATATACTAAAAAATTTAAATATGTCATTAAATTTTTCTAAAAGTATGTAGATTTATAAATATTAAGAATTTGACTATTTAGAATTTTGAGATGACTTTGTAAATGGATAGAAATTTGTTAGTTTTGATTTGAACTACCTTCTTTATTTTAAAGATTTACAAATCTAGTGATGGAATTAGAATGCTCTACAATTTTTTTAGTTTTTCAAATATAAATAATTTAGCTTGGTATATTTTTCTATTGATTTTTTTTCTTGCTTTTTCTTTTTGAAATTTAAAGTTGACATATTCTCCTATTTAACTTTGTATCATATTTAAAATCTTCAACAAGTATTTAGTTCAGGAGATATGAGATTTTTAAATTTACAAAATTATTATTTATAAAACATGTAGAAAAAAAATTACATATAAATTTGCTAGAAATATATATATATATATATATATATATGTAACTATAGGTGTATTTTTTTATTTTTTATTTTTCAAAATATCATATTAAAATACTTTTTAAATACAATATAAATATAAATGACTTGATACTAGATTAAAGATTTAAGATTTAAGATGTAAGATTTAAGTTTTTATAATTTAGAATTATATGAGTATCCTTGGTTTTTTGACCCCCTTATTTTTTGATTTTGATTTGACATACTCTCTTATTTTTTGTGTCTATAATTCAAATATTTTAAATAACTTGTTCTACAAGTTTTTAGTTTGAAAGTTATAGTAACTTTGATTGGGCCTTTAAAATTTTGACTTTTCTAATAGGAGATTTTTTCAGAGTTTTGAAAATACCAATAGAAAAATTTATAGATTGTATATTCTAAATATGTCATTGAAGTATTCTAAAAATATACAGATTTATAGATATTGAAGATTTAACTATTTAGAAATTTTAGTTGGCGTTATAATAGATAATTTTTTAAAAATTTTAATATGATCTACCTTTAATATTTTGGAGATCTACAAATCTAATGGTAGACATACAAGACCTTTGATTTGGTATTTTTTTCTATTTTTAATGTTTTATTTTATTTTATTTTTAAAAAAATTGAATTAATTTATTCCTTCTTTCCTTCTCCTATTTGTGTTGTTTTTAATTTTGATGGTATATTTAAAATCTTTAGTAAGTCTATAATTTTAGAAAGATGAATATTTTAAAATTTTAGAATTATTATTTGTATAATATGTGAAAAAAATTAAAATAAAATAAAAAATCCTATTTAGTTATTTATACTATGATAATAAAATTAATAGCTTATATAAGTGTATGTATATTTTATAATTCTAAAATATCATATTTAGACTATTTTTTAAATACATTGTATATATAAATGACTTAAAACTATATAACTTACATTCTAAATTTATGCAATAGTCATACCAATTTGTGTTGAGATAAATAGGTAATAGTAAAAGTAGAATAAGTTATCTTGTAGAGAATATTCTCTTAGGTAAGTTGCTAATGGTCAAAGGCAACTAAGGACTAAGTGGCGGCTAGGGTCTCGACAGACGGCTAGGTTTAGAGTCTCAAGAGGTGGTTAAGTTTAGGGTCTCGAGTGGGGGCTAGTAGTAGATGAATGTGGAGGAAGTCTATACATATTGGATGTGAACTCTGATTATAAGTAACGGGTGTTGGAAGTAAGAGACATCTCATTCCACACTTCTCTTATGTGCAACCTTGCTGATTTCTACTTACTTGTGTTATGCTTATAGTATTTCTTCAATAGGTTATGGGCCCACAGACTCTCTGTTGTGCTATTCAAGTAAGTTGAAGTCATTTTCTGTTTGTTGCTTTTGTGTGGATTAGATCTTATGGTATTTGTTGATGTTAGGTTTGTTGGTACAAGGAGGCTATTGGTATTAAGCTTGTACATCTCTAACATTACTTTGTGGGTTCTTATCTCCTTGCTTTGTGAGGTTAAGACTTTGTTGAAAGACCTTGATAGTGTCTTTTTTGAGTTGGTGAAGTTTCTTCATTATTCTTGAGTGTTTTGATGAGAAAGTGATTAAGACGAGTGATTGTGAATTCCATGAGGGTGCAATCACTTGTAGAAAGCTTCACAAGTTGAATTGAAAGTGTTTTCAGTGAGATACCACTCTTTTGTTCATAATAGGGTATTCTGAGATTCTGCTAGTGCAAACTTTGTTTGGTGATTTTAAGCTTTTAGAGACTCCTCTCAATATTTTTTGATACACTCCTCCTTAGACATGGCTTCTAGTGAGGGTGAAGGTTTGAGAGTGATTGAGAAGTTTAGAGGCAACAATTTCTACCATTGGAAGGTCAAAATGGAGCTTTTGTTGGCGTCTTTGGACCTTTGAGATATTGTAGATGAGAGTGAAGACTCTCCAAGCATAGATGCAAGCCCTAAGGACCACAAGGACTTCAAAAGACATGAAAAGAAGGCTTTTGGCATGATTGCCACTAACTTGGATGAAGCCAAATTTTCTCACATTATCCATTGCAAAGGACCAGCGGAAGCATGGAAGACACTTTGCAACATATATGAGAGCAAGAACTTGTCCAACATCCTCTTCACAAGAAGGAAATTCTTCACTTGTAAGATGGAAGAAGGTGAAGACCTCATGGCACATGTTAATAAGGTAAAGGCTCTTGCAAATCAACTAGCAATTGTTAACAAGCC